CTGAACCGAGTCTTCAGAATACTAATTTTCTTTGTAGTTTTTCTTTTCTAAAGAAAGCGTCTGTCTCTTGACCTATAGGGCTTTCATTTATGGGGCAAGAGAACTCTCTTGAAAATTAATTTTTCTAAGAGCACTTGTGACTAAATCGAAATACCATCCTGTGGGTTTCACACCGCCACGCGAGTCTGCGGGAGCTCGCATTTCCACCTTAGCTAGGCTGGGGCCAACAGCCAGACGGAGGTTTAGGCCTCCCCAGGAGGCAGCTCCTTTGTCAGAGAAAGGGCCACCATGGAAAAGAGGAAGCCTGTCCTTGTCTGTACATATAAAAATGCTACGAAAATTCAGGAGCTGCACCTTGATACGCGGACCACAGTACCGATCTCCCACTGGGGGTTTACCAGCACTGAAGGAAGTTTAACCCAGAAGCTTGAGCTCCCAGACTCACTCCTTTCACCTTCCTGTGTCAGGTTCTGTTCACGTTCTTGGGCGGCAGCCCCGACTCAGCTACATTTCCATCATTCCTCACCACGAGGTGAGAAGGAGCCGTGAGGACACTTACCCTCGAACCCTGGCACGCAGCAAATGCTCCAAGCCCCAGGTCAATGCAATGTGGTGTCACTGGGACTGCTCCTCTCCGCTTGCATGGCCACACTCCGTGGAGAGGAGCCAGCGACTTCCAGGACGGGTCAGGCCCGCAGCCCTGGGCTGGTCGGCGTGAGCCCCGGCCCCTCAGGTGCACAGAGTAGAGCAACGTCTGGGTTTGAGTCCAGGAATCTGTATTTTACGGAGCTCCCAGGTGTTCCTCCTGCACATTAAAACTTGAGGCTATTAGGGACGCGTCCCTTCTCAATCCACAATTGTTCCAGGAAGGATGGGGAAAAAAGGAAAAAAGGAAAAAAGAAAGCAGAGATTAAAGCTTTTTAAGGAGAAAGACAGAAAGACTGAGAGGTCGAAAGGCCAGAGGGAAGGAAGGAAGAGGGCAGAGAGAGGGAGATGAAGACAGATGCTGTGCATCGTGGACTGGGGGGCACTGACCTGGGGGCTCCCCTTAGCCACGTCCCTCTGACGTCACCTTTGGGGTTACTTAAGGACAGCAGGCCTTTGGGCAACTCCCTTGAAAACACAGCAGCTGGGGCGACACCTGGTGCCTGACACCCGTGCCTGTGTCTTACCAGAGCGGAGGGGCTGCCCGGTGACACCCGGACTCAGCTCCCAGCCCCGAAACTTCCACCTCTGGGCTGGTAGGCTAGGCCGCAGTCGGGTCAGCAGCTAACCGAACTGCACCTGCCCGGGGCAGAGGGTGCTGCGGAGGGCACTTACCTTGCCATATAAATTTAATAGACTCCTCTCTTCTCCCTTCCCATCCAGCCACACCACCGGCGGATCCTGCCTGCTCCTTGCGGATTTCCGTCTGCACAGACGGCCATGGCTGGTGGGCTGTGATGGCAA